CACCTGTCTTAAGTTTTTCTATGTTGGGTTTTAGTTATGTCTCTTTCATTGCTTCTGCGGTTGCAGACTACAGCTGTATTTCTTGCTTTTGCTGCTGTTTGCAGCTTTCAATTAACAGCATTTAAAGGGATAGTACACTTCAAAATGAAAATTCTGTCATCATATACTCACCCTCAAGTTGGTTTTTAGCCTGTATGAATTTCTTTCTTCTGCTGAACACAAATGAAGATATTTTGAATAATGTCAGTAACCAAACAGTTTACTGGTCCCATTGACTTCCATAGTATTTTTTTTCCTACAATGGAAGTCAATGGGATTTAAGGCATAATTGAAATGTCTTTCTCAGGGTAAATGATATCAAGACAGAAGCCTTAGTGGGTATTGACAAATATGGCAACAAATACTATGAGGACAACAGAAACTTTTTCGGTATTAATTTACAATTTTTAAGTGAACTATCCCTTTAATGTAGCTCACAGCATAAAATTACAATTCATTAGCTAAATTATTGTCTTCTCAAACAGGTATCACTGGAGACCGAAGAGGTTGTTTGTATTTCTGCCTACATGTGCAGCTGTGCAGCTGGTAAAGGGTTGTGCAACCATCTGACAGCACTTCTGTATCAGACGGCCCACTATGTGCAGCTGAATTTACAGTCTGTCCCACCACCACTGGCCTGCACGAGTGAGCCACAGAGATGGCATCGTCCAAGAACACAGGCATGTATTTTTTCTTTTCTGCAAATGGTAAGAACACTATAGTATCAACTCAAGCAAGTAAGTAGGCTACATGTTAACATCAAAGCAATATGGACTAATAATGCACAAGAGTGCAGATTAAGTAACAAAGGTATAAATGAACATCACCCAAGATTAATACAATCTGTTAACTGTTATTACTCATTATTTCATATTGACTAAATGCATAAACTAATGTAAATGTATAAAACCTTATTATAAAGTGTTTCGAGAATATTTTAACTTTGCATCTGTTTATTTTATGCTAAGGGAGTCCATCCAGAGGCAGTGAGTGAACTTGTTGTCCTGAAGCCAAAGTCAGCTGGGAAGACTGGAATCAAGTCTACTCTATACAGGGCTTACACAGGTAATACACAACACTGTATGTGTACACGTCGTGTACTCAGCTACAACTTAATGTGTTCAAAACTAATAGTTTGTATTAATTTCTTTAGGTCCCCTTCCAGATTCTGATGTATTGGCTTCTGGTACCAAACTGAGTCAGATCCATCCCCGGCCTTTGCTGGCACACATACTAGAGGGCATGTCAAAAATAGAGTTGGTCCCCTCACAGTTTGGTCCTGTACCTCGTGGTAGTCCACTTTCATACCAATGTCCCCCTATAGCTGTAGATATTCCTGTTGTTAATTTCCCCCCACTACCTGTGCTTGGCTATCAGTTTGGTTGTAATTTTAAATATGTGCCCACACACCATCAATCACTTCATCTGGAGTCTATAAAGGTTACCCATTATTCCGCTTGTCAGATTGAAGAGGCCACAAGACTACAGTCAAAATGTACTGCTTGGAGACAAATGCGGCAATCAAGGGTTACTGCAAGCAGGTTCCGGGAGGTTAGTCATGTAGTTGGGGATTCAACTGGTCAGTCATTAGCGGCAAGAATCAAGGGCACGAGGCAGACAAGTGCTATGAAACGTGGCCTTGAACTTGAGCCAGATATTTTGAGAAAATATTCTGAGATAGCCAGTGTTAGTGTCCTACCTTGTGGTTTTATTATCAACCCAGAAGCACCACATCTAGGAGCCAGTCCAGATGGACGAGTGCATGATCCATCTGAAACCTTCCAATTTATGACATCATGACTTTGCGTAAACATACACGCCACTTTCAATTCAAGTGGCGTGTTATCTATACGCATTTTGAGCTATCCGCGTGTATGTCCACGCCGAAATCTTTTGCGTGTATGTCTACGCCATTAAACGTCCGAGTGATTCCGCGTGTATGTGTACGCCGTTAAATGTCCGAGCGAAACGAAGCAAAATCTATATTCTACATCTGTGGAGCGATATTTCTTTTCCTAGGATGGTAGGAGAAGACTCATAAATGGTATTAACCCCAGTGACGGGTAGGTTTAGGGACGGGGTTGGGGTAGGTCATATATTTATATGTACATAATACAGTAATATAACGTTAAGTCAAAGGCGTTGATAAACACGCTGAAAAGCGATTATGCGTGTTGATAGCACGCCAAAAATGGAAATACGAATTGGCGTGTCATACATACGCCATTTCATGAGATCAGTCTGAATTTGGACTAGTGGAAGTAAAAAGCACATCTGCTGATAACATTGCCCAGGTTCCATTTATCAAACTTCAAAGAGGACAAGCCAAACTCAAAGAGACCCACAAGTACTGTACTACTGGCAGGTTCAAGGCCAGCTTGCAGTGACTGGTCTACAGTGGTGTGACTTTGTGACTGACACAAAATCAGATTTCACAATACAGAGGATCTGGCGAGATGATGCCTTCATAGCATCAATGAAAGACAAGCTAGACATGTACTATTATTATGTTTACATGGATGTGTATCTTTCAGTGGTATAAATGTACGGTAACACTTTACTTGAATGGGTGTGCGTAAGGCTGACATGACTCCTTCATATATGAATATGAAGGAGGTTTTATGCATGTTTGTGACAACTGTCATTAAGTGTCATTCACTCAATTATGACATTTTTAATGCAAATATGACATTGTTTGAGATGTCTTTATGACAACTTGACAAATCAATACATCATAACCATTAATTTACATTAAACTGTCAGGTGGTTGGTTTTGACATTGGCTGTCATGAAGCCATTATAACTTTTTAATGACAAATTCAATGTGTACCACTGTAGTTGAGGTCACAAAAAATATTAATGGCACAGTTATAATGCCTCATGACAGCCAATGTCAAAACCAGCCACATGACAGTTTAACTTAATTTAATGTCAAGTTGTCATGACAAAGACACTGACAGGTTATGATGTTATGGTTTATGTCAAGTTGTCATAACAAAGACATCTCAATGTCATATTTGCATTAAAAATGTCATAATTGAGCGAATGACACTTAATGACAGTTATCATAAACATGCATAAAAGCTCCTTCATGTTTATAACATGCGTTACATATACAGTATACCCACATTTATGTACATAGCCTAATAGTTAATACATTATTATATTTTGAATTTGATATTGTGTAATATATATGATATGTATGCATACACATTTACTAATTGTTTATGTATTTGTATTGTGTGAAATAACAATGAACAGCAGAACTCAGTTTACAATTTTGTTTTTATTGATTCTTATTAAATGCATTTTGTCAACTATTTCAATGCATCTGTCAAATTACTTTCAGGAAACTTAGTATAAATAATGACAATATACATTTGATCAAATGTCACAGTACAAAGTAAACAAAAAAGTAAAAACAAGATATTTAATGTAAAATATTGAAAGTCTGTCACTACTATTGTAAAAATCAATCACACTGTCATTGTAAATATCTAATATTTATTATATTATACATATATGTGACCTGATCCAGCAAAATGAGTCACAGTGACCCAAATTAAAAAATTGAGATTTTGGTATTAATGGAAAGAGGAGACCATAAGCTTTCAATTGATATCCTAGTCAAAGTCATACCTTGAATGGTTGTAAAGATATACACATTTGAATTATGGTCGTCTGCCCTCTTTTTCCAATTGAAAACCTGAGAAAATCGCTTTTAAAGTTTTTTGCCCGTTTTTTGTTGATATCTTTCAAAATCCATTACATTTAAAGGGATAAACTATATTTTACAGCTTAATTTGACCAAAGACATTAATATATAAATGCTATTAAACCAGGCTGAAGCTCAAATTATTTTAAAAGTTTTTATTTTAATAAATAATTTAACAGTAGGCCTACCTTTTACAAAAATGTACTAAAATCAGAAAGATTGAACAGAGGTGCTACATTTTTGCTTGAGGGAGAGGGTGTGTGTGTCTGTGTGTGTGTGTGTGTGTGTGTGTGTGTGTGTGTGTGTAAGAGAAAGTGAGAGGCAGAGAGACAAGGAAACAGAGATCAAATAATGCTAGTCTATGCAATCATATCTTAGTGTAGGCTAGTTGACAATAACAGCGTAACAAATTCATAACGGAGATACCAACAGACAAATATTGGGTTAATCAAACACATTGTAATGGATTCTGCTTGCAGATAAATAGCTACACTCATTCACATTTGTCAATCACGTTATGTCAATCACGCTTGCACACTACGACACTTTCATCCGTTATATAAATACAATCGTAAGTTTTTCGCATCCGTAGCAAGCAGTTTGAATGGTGTTTTGACAATTCGGAGCCACCGAATCAATACGAAAAAACGCATACGAAAAAAACGCGGACTCAGTGTGCAATGGCCAGGGGGCTTGATGACGCTTTGGCAACTTTGCTCACTTTTGACAGCGACATTTCTCAAATTAATAATATTTACTGTTTCTGAGGAGATCTGCTAGCTTGTTTATTACACAGAGCGCTCGCTGCGAGTCTGACAGGAGGGTGGCTGGACCAATCGCGTGCCGGTCAGTCGAAACGGCTTCCCATTGACAAATGATCAGCATTTGTGTACATTTCTAAGCTTTTTGATTGGTTCTATACAACGTGTAACACCATTTAAAGAGCAGAGATAGTGACGTTTCAGGGGATACCCGGGAAATCCTGAGGTGACGAGAGGAGTTGAGAAAAGCAATGTTCATTTCCAGCGAATTTAGTAAAACTTTGTACACTTTAATAGTAATTTAAATACCTTTACTCAATTATCTGGACTACGAAACTTTGGGAGATTATTTTTGAATGTCTGTTCTTTGAAATTAGCACAAAAAAAAAAATCTATTATTTCATTGTTTTTCCACATAATCGGCCCATATCTTAAAATAGAACGTTGCGACTTCCGACTCATTTCGCCAGATCGGGTCACATATACTTGTATACTGTACATTCACTCCTCAAGAAACATCGGCCCCTGGTAATTAACCATAAAACAGCAATTATGCCAGATCTGATTGATGCTTCCTGACAAGGTGAGTGGCACAACAGAATCCCAAATGTGGTTTTCCTTGACCCTTCGAATTACCCTTTCCACCAGAATTCTGAGGCGTGCAATGGCCTGTGTTTTTTCACAGTCCTGTTTGCTGAACTGCTTAGCATGTTTGAAAGGTGGAATGATCAGTCTAGCACCAACACTGGAGAGCATATCCTCGATTGTGAACCCCTTGTCTGCCATGACCTCATCTCCAGGTTCAAGCAGGTCCAAAATGCCAGACTTCTTTGTGATCTCTTTGTCGGAGATTGAACCTGTGTAAAGCTGGGAGATGAAAGTCATTGCACCACATGGAGCTACTCCAACCAGACCTTTAAATGTTGTAGTGCTCTTGTAGCTGGAGAAGATCTCTGAGTGGAGTGTCAGAGATGTGGGGCTTTCACAGCGGATTTCTGTGCAATCCAGGATGACTCGCAGGTTTGGACAGAACAAACTGTACTTCTTTGGCATGGAGAAGCATATTTGTTGCTTGGACATCCAAATGGGTACTGAACCCAACACAAAGAACAGGTAGTTAGCCCAGGTGATAATGGCCCTACTCACTGTGGCCACGCTTACCCCAAAAATGTCAGCGATTACTTGTTCCCTCAGTCCAGCAGCTACTCGACAGGAATACATGAACAGTTCATCTATGAGCTGGATCTTCCGTGCAGGGCTAGGGCTTGGGGATGCTTCCTGTCCCATCCTCTGTGCCTTAGTCCAGTACACAAGATTGCTGGCAGATGGACAAACAGACTCCCAGAACACCTGGAAAACTTCCTGTGAGGGAAACTTTGTGTAGTATTTGATTGTGTGATCAGAAACACAAAATCTGCTCATTATTGCTTGTTTCTCTAGTGACATTTTCTGCAGCCTAGCCTCCAGCTCTTCAATGTACTGCAGAGCCTCATCTAATGCCCCTATAAAAATGTAAATAATATAGTTAGCAACTAATTATGCTGTTTTTTGTTTTGTATTTCACGTCACAGCACATTCTACACTGTTATCACACAAGCAAAAGTTAACATAAGTGCTTACCGGCAGGTGGGCGTGCCGCGTAGTCATGTTCCTCAACATGACTGGATTCATTGGGTGCATCCTCTGAGACCACCGGTTGCTCCTGAACACGTACATAATAATAATAATAATAATAATAATAATAATTCATTACATTTATATAGCACTTTTCTAGGCACTCAAAGCGCTTCACATAGAAGGGGGGATCTCCTCAACCACCACCAATGTGCAGCATCCACTTGGATGATGCGACGGCAGCCATATTGCGCCAGAACGCCCACCACACACCAGCTTACTGGTGGAGAGGAGACAGAGTGATAAAGCCAATTAGTGTATATGAGGATGATTAGGAGGCCATGATGGACAGAGGCCACTGGGCAAATTTGGCCAGGGTGCCGGGGTTACACCCCTACTCTTTCGAAAGACATCCTGGGATTTTTAATGACCACAGAGAGTCAGGGCCTCGGTTTAACGTCTCATCCGAAGGACGGTGCTCTTTGACAGTATAGTGTCCCCATCACTATACTGGGGCGTTAGGACCCACACAGACCACAGGGAGAGCACCCCCTACTGGCCTCACTAACACCTCTTCCAGCAGCAACCTGGTTTTCTCAGAAGGTCTCCCATCCAGGTACTAACCATCCACGCCAAGTCGAACAGCAGATCTCTCAAAAGCTGACAGCCTTTGAGGGGGTACATAGAAATTGTTCCAAGGGAAACGACTGGGAATGGCACCAACCTTCAGCCGCGAACTTCCTGGAATGTAGTCGACAGCGGTAAAATGCTGACTGCAGACATACGTGCTGCCTCTCCGAATGACGAACGTAGACCCTTCGTTCCGTCTAATAGCGATAACCCATTTCTTTTTTTGGTCTTCATTCAAAGGATACCCGTGAAAAGATAAATAAGGTTGTTTTTGCTTAGAATTGCTGCACTGAGGGACACTACAGGAACACTTATTCTTGGACTCGGCCATTGTTGTTGTCACCGGAAGTAAGTTTACCCGGCGTCGGTGAGCACCGGAAACACAAAACCCGGAAGTGTGAAAAAGGCTTATTCCTACTTCCATGGGAATTCCCTCGAGCGCTCTGCACGTGGCCATTATAAATGTCCCGTATTTAAAAGCTCTCGGCCCTCCGTCACATACCAAATATATGTATAATGTATATATGAATATAATTTTGGACACAAGAGGGCAGTATGGCCCTATGTATAATTTTGTGTTTAAACTAAACTATCACACGAAGAGCCCCTCCCCCCCTCCCCACACAGACACAGACACACACACACGAATGGCAGGGTGCATTCTCTCTGTCAGAGGGAGAGGGAGAGAAAATTCTCAGAAACATCCACATTCAAACTAAAATATCTGACTTCCTCTTGGTCTGAGCTAATGACAGTTAATTAGAAAGTTGTCCGGCTTGATCTGAACAATATGCGTACCGAGTTTTATGATTGTAGGTAAAACCATAAAACTAACACCCCCACTTTTGTCAAAAGGTGGCGCTACTGAGTCCCTGCACCACGCCCGTTTCTGAAACTTTGCACATGTCTACTGGCTAATAAATCTGATCTGTCTGTCGAGTTTCATGCAATTTCAAGCAATTTCAGGCATGCTAAGAGTCTCAAAAGCATAAAAAAAGAATATTAAAATTTGATGCGTTGCCATGGCAACAGTATCTAAGATGTCAAGAATCCATTCACAGGTCTACATCTGGCGTGTGTTTACATTATAGTAGTGAAGTTTGAAGCAAATCGGGTAAAAATAAGAGGGTGATTTCAAAGCATTTTGAAAGTGACACACTTCCTGCTGCCAGTTGGTGGCGCTATAACTTTGACTCACAATAGTCACATCCATGTGATCGGCCTCTTACAACGAACACACTGCTGAAGTTTCATCAAGATCAGTTAATGTATGAAGAAGTTATAACACACTTCCTGTTTCCATTATTTGCCATAAATTCGTTTCCTCGCCACGGCCACACCGTTCGAGATATCAAAAATCCGTTCGCAATTTGGGATCCTCAATGTCTTGACTTCATGCACACCGGGTTTGGAGACGAACGGCGGAATTCCCTAGGAGAAGTGTTTCAAATTCCTGAGCATGCGTTTCCAAACAACCCTAAATAGCCGACTTCCTGTTGGGCTGGCGTAAAAAGTAAGAGCATGAAGTATATATGAACCGATGAGATCTATATGTGTACCAAGTTTCAAATTATTACATGAAAGCGTGTTTGATTTATAGACCCAGTTTTCGGACCGCGTTCCAGGGGGCGCTGTCGAGCCCCCCTGCCACGCCCGGGTACCATCTTCAGCCCGGCCCTGATGGCCGCGGGTTCTGACCCGTGTGCAAAGTTTCAAGAGTTTTCGAGCACGTTAAGGGCCCCAAAAGTGCCCGAAAGGTTGATAGAAAAAGAATAATAATAATAAATATAGCTGCGAGCAGCGATTACGGGCCCAAGCCGGTGGCACCGCAACCCCGGTGCCTTTAGTTACCTAAAGGCACCGGGGTGGCGGTACCACCGGCTTTGGCCCTTCATCGCTGCTCGCAGCTATATTTATTTATTTATATATATATATATATATATATATATATATATATATATATATATAAAGCCGGTGGCACCGCCACCCTGGTGCCTTTAGGGTTATTGTGCACGACATGCAAAAACGTAACCCTGCTTTGACTGTCGAAAAGAAGTGTGCTGTAGAGCTTGTATCAGTGTGGGCTCTGCAAAAGTGTGCATTGAGGGCACATATCAACCACAAAGTATGCGAGAGCAACCTTCTGAAAGGTCAGGTCTACATCCAGGTCTACATCTGCCGTGTGTTTACATCATAGTAGTGAAGTTTGAAGCAATCAGGTGATTTCAAAGCTTTTTGAAAGTGACAGACTTCCTGCTGCCAGTTGGTGGCGCTATAACCGGGGTGGCGGTGCCGCCGGCTTTCGCCCTTTCATCGCTGCTCGCAGCTATATTTATATATATACACACACAAACACACACACACACACACACATATATATATATATATATATATATATATATATATATATATATATATATATATATATATATATATATACATAAATATATATATATTGTTTTTTTAAGAGACAAGACAGAATATTACTTGCCTGATCTGATTAGAAAAATAGTGTTTGTGTGTGTGTGTGTGTGTGTGTGTGTGTGTGTGTGTGTGTGTGTGTGTGTGTGTGTGTGTGTGTGTGTGTGTGTGTGTGTTTGTGTGTGTGTGTGTGGCGTAATTGAACAATGTAGACATAAAAACATACTCCGTCCTTTTGTTCATACAGGACATTATTCAAACTGCAAAGTGTTTACTTATATTTGTGTACACTTGCAATAAAACACAACATTGTGCTTTTGTCAAGCTATAAACTCTTGTCAAACTGTAAACTACAACTGTCACCCAACCAAAATCTCTTACACACACACACACACACACAGTTTAAAAGCAAAAAATATCAAACAATCCTATTTAAAAACAGTCTGTGGGAGCCATCTTTTGGACATTCATCATATCGCATTGGTTTTCATTTCTTGTCATCAAACAGAGCCCTAATCTGTTTATTTTTTCAGTTACACATTCTACATTGATTAAAAAAGAAAAATCAAATGTGTTTTTATTTTATACAGAAATAAATAATCTATCATTCAGATGAGAATAAAGTTAGTGTTAGTTCAAATTTTAAGGAAAACAAATATATGATCTGAAATATACCACATTCATTTAAAATTCATTCAGGTTCAATTACCAAACATACAATCTTAATGTAATTTAAAGCAAACAATACATTTAAAATATATGGGTTGTATGACTATTTTTTAATATAAAAAGATATATATCCAAAAAGACAAGGCCTAAAGTTTAACAAGGGTTAAACTCTTATCACTGTAACAGACACAATCACACACACAATCACACACACACACACACAAGTCAAATCACTTACATTTTACATGCAATATTGACTTTTTTTCTGTTTCAGCAGCGAAAATAGTTAAACAAAGATCACAGCAGAACCATCGCGCATCTCACAGCAACGCGTTCTCATTACTGAATGATTCAGCATTTTGAACGAATCGGTTGACTCAAAGATTCAATGACCAATCAATCCATAAACATCTATCTCATTCATGAATGACTCAGTCGTTCAAACGAATGAATCAATGACTCGCTCATTAAGACGGTCGCCTGGCGACACTTAATGACGGTTTAGTGTTATGTTTAAAAGTATCATTCTTTCCAACGATTGTTAATTAACTCATATTTGAAACATAAGCTATATTTATATATATACATACATATACACAGACATACACAAAAATAAAATAAAAACACATTTGAAATGTGTTTGCTTACTAAATTGTGAGCTGAACGAAAGTTGCAGCAAATATCAGCAACAGGAGTCAAATTTCATTAATCACGAGAGTGAAGAGCTGACTGAAAAGATGATGACGGAATAGGCTATTTTATGTAAAAACGCCTATTTAAGCGAATCTGTCATTGTACTCTTTTATTGTTGTGTTTTCCGTGAAAAATAATAGACTATTGAACTCACAATTCAAGCAATCGGCCCCCGAAATTGCACTAATTTTAGTGACACTAAAAAGTATGCGGCTGCACTGGCATTCATAATGGTGCGCGTCCATGGCGACGAGCGAGCAGAACAGAGCGAACGTTTAGTTAATTTCTACTTCCATAGGAATTCATTCGAGCGCCACCATTTCAATGTCCGTGCGGACGTCCATATTATACTTTCGCTTTCAAGTTAGTGTTTTTAAACCCCCCAGCGGGAGGTTTACACAATTGGTTTACACAATCACACGTTGATTAACCGGTGGGAAAATATTCCCATAGTAACATCCCTAATATATAAATATATATAAATTCAATAGGCCTACCTGATTTTGAACACAAGAGGGCAGTATAGCACTATATATGATTTGGATTATTATTATTTTTGACTAAACAACCATTCTGGCTGTTTTTAAACTTAAAAATAATTCTTAAATTGAAAAAAAGGAATAAAATGGGTTTAGTTCTAATATTTGTATAATTTTATATAAAAATAAATGGTGTAT